GTGTGCCTTGGCAATCTCAGTTATATGATTCTGTTTTCTTCAAGTTTGTATCTTCCTGGTCGAATGCACTTATTGTAAGTCGCTTTGGATAAAAGCGTCAGCTAAATGCAATGTAATGTATAACCTTGGGACGTTACAGAGATTCTATCTATATTTTATACTCTCCATTGTTTATAGTGTTCTTCACTACAGTGTCATGTATGCTTTTAGGGCATGGCTTACCTGTAATTGAAAGGTCTCTTAAAGGCAACCAGGGAAGAGGCAAAGCTAACACTAACCCTTGCTGACTCCCACCCCTCGTCCACATATGGTCACTTCTGGATCCAAAAAAACAAGATGGTGATGGATGAAATGCCAAGATAGAGGCTTTAAAACATCATGATAGCAAAGTTTTTTGTACAATCCATGGGCCACTTGCATTATGTTTCGGTAAAAGCTAAAGCTTTAGCCTCAGGTAAAAGTTAGAACCCTAACCCCACCAATTTAAGACACACATAAACAAAGAAACACATTTCAGTTGCATGCTGTGTAGATCCAGCTAGTCCTAGTAGATTAAGTAAGATGAGAAAAAATGTAAGGTCAAGATCACAGGACACTCTGATTTATCGGATTCTGTATTCCGATAAATTATGGAGTGCTGCCATCCTCTCTACCCTTTTGTCAAGGCGGCATCACCCCTGCCCCTCATAACTCAGGGAGGAAACGATGCGTGGCGTCCACAGCTTCTCCCTGTCACTTCCAAGAACATTGTGATGGATGTATAAACTAAGGAGCTAGCCAAGAAGACTGCAGAGGGACAACGGTCCCCAGCTGTCTGGCAAACAAATAGCTTTGTCGGTCTCAGCGGTCAAGGTCAACTGAGGAAAGGTCGTAAAGACGGAAACTGTAATGTTTTTCAGATGCTGGAAACCGTGTCGGAGGAATATTTCCGACCGTACTAAGACTCCTTACTGCGTTGACATATGTTTTCATTTCATGGATTGTGTGTTTATGTCACGCCTCCAGATGTGACATTTAGGGCCTCAGCTTGCTGATGGACACAAAGCCTGGAGAAATGATAAAAAGATGTTCGTAAAGGTACAGAGTTGAGGGCATGAATATGGAAACCCGGAGGATAGATCAAGAATTGCCATGGGAAGGATTGTGAAAGGTTAGAGAAACACTAGCGGGATTCGGCGAGGAGGGGGAATATCGAAGAGAGAGAAGACAAGGGGAATGCTGATTGTATCTTTGTGTGTGTGCAAACTGTGTGTGAGTGATAGAGAAAGAGATAACACAGAGGCAGAAAACACTAGTGCGTGGCATGAAAAATGTCATGAGGAACAGTGGTGGTGCCATGTTCCTGCATCTGTAGGCAGGATACCACCTTCAGGAACCAGTGGTCTTTGGCTGCTAATGGAAAAAAACAGAGGAACTGTCCCTGCATAATGTCTCTCGATGACGGCACAACGTTATTTAGCCCAGCACAAGAAATGGCCATTTTTGGAGCAAGCCTCAACAATTTCAAAATTAGCTTTGCAAATGAAGTAGGCCCTACGTGGATACAGCGTCACATCGACAATGAGTGCCGGTGTCAGTGTAGGAGGAGGAGTAGGAGGTGGAAGAACCTATGGATCCTTAATAAATCATCACCAAGGCTCTCAATATAGTAGAGCCTGAGCCACATGTATAAATATATTTATAAAACGGACAAGTCAAATCAAGCAATCTGATTTGGTTCTTAGCCGTGATATACTGAGCGTATACCACGGGTAGAATTGTAAGTTACTTTTCACAACAAGTCAGTATCCCTCCGCGTCTGAGAAAAACAGTATACCGTTGGGCTGAAAAACAAACTGCCTGCAGTTTTGCTTTTCAAACTGGAACAAGAAAGCACCGGAGAAGTAAAGGGGCAGAAGCCCTCCTTTTTGACGCAGCGGTCCAGACATAGACATCAAACGGCAAAACATATTCAGTGTACAGTTCCTTTGGCATTAGGGCAGGGATATCTAGATACTTTTGAAGGTTTAACATAATGAATTGTGCCACAATTCATTATGTTAAACCTTCAAAAGTATCTAGATATCCCTGCCCTAATGCCAAAGGAACTGTACACTGAATATGTTTTGCCGTTTGATGTCTATGNACGGGAGGGGGTGCTGAGGGGGCTGCAGCACCCCCATCTGCGAGGCTCCACTAGCACCCGCACCCCCAAACGCGGCGCACCTACAGTGTAAGCGGGCCACAGTTTCACCATACCCAGGAAGAAAAAATTCGAAAAAGAAAAATCTCCAAAGAGGCGTTCTGGGGCAGCATAGACAGGTATTTTCTGTGAGTTTTACTCGCTACAGGGTGTACTTTGAGGGTTTGTGACTCTGGAGACCGTTTACATGCAGAAAAAGCTACATAATACACAATGGGATGGGTAATAACCGGAAAAGCATGACATGGGACCTTTAAAGCAAGAACTTCTGGTGGACAGGTCCAACTCCTGTATTGTCCCAAAATTGAGCACCACTTTATTTGTGAAGCTCCAAAACAGAAAATAAACCCCTCTCTCCTTCTCAGTGGGCGTTTGGTTCTGATTTACCACGAGGGATTTCTTTACTGCAGCAGTGAAAATGTCATCCCTTTCATCCCAGTTCATATCACCTGTCCTCCCCTTGTGTTTATCTTCCCTTTCACTACGCATCGACTCGCAGCCAGGTCTGCTACCTGCACAGTGTGATGTTAACCCACTGTGATGGGAGCAGCCAGCCAGGCAAGAGGACCCGGGGGCAGCTCCACTCATCCCAACCCCCCCGGTTAGTTCCAGACAGTGGCTCTCTGTTAGAGGGACACAGAGATCTCCGGGACACACAATGGCACTATTCACTGTAACCTGGCATCGGGGCCCTGCATTAGACACAGCTCTGTGGCTCTGTTAGCCAGGGTTCAGTTCTCTGCTTGCTGCTGATGCGTTTGTCAGATCCCTCCGCACCCGCTGTCCCCTTTTTAGGTGCCAGAATGAGCCCACACAACCGAAAGGCACAGTGATAAAATAATAATCCCACTGAGGCCAAAAGGGATGTTTGGTGGAAACTTCCCAACAGTCTATTCCTATCACAACAATCACAAAAGAGAAGTTGTTTTGTTGCTCTCACGGGTTATGAGAGCAACTGTTTGATGACACTTTTTTTTCCAGCTGGGGAATCAATATCCTTGAACTGTGAGGAAAAAAAGCTGTGGTTCTGCTCTTTTGTTTTTAGGTCAAAAAGAAAAGTCAAACAAGCCCTAATAATATGGAGATGAGATTCGCCTGCCATAAGGTATTGCATTCATGAGCTTTGATTTCAAAATCATGGACAAAATAAAAAGGTTAATATTAATTTGCTGTTCTTTGTATTAAAAATGTTGCCGTTCTGCAGCAGGCTCAAAGTTTCTGCACCACAGAAAGAGTTTTCAAAATATGTGCAACCTATGCAGGGCCGCCCCTGGCCAACCCGTGAAGATGATGAGGCTGTGTTGTGGTTGACATGATGATGACTGTTAGGAGTTAAGGGGAGAGGCTGAGCATCACCATGAAATGTGCGAATTGACATAAAATGAATAAAAGGCAGTTTTTTAGGCTGTAAACTTGAACTGTTATGTAAGGCAACTAGACAGACAGTTTATCACTCTTCCTCCTGTACATTAGCAGATACAAGCCATAAAATACTTGAATGAATGTTAAATAAAGAATGCTGGAAATAACTGCATCTCCATTAGCCTATATGCTATGCAGAGACTGCCTTCTTCATGTCGTGAATTGCAGCTGATGTTTTAATATGGCAATTGGCCATTTGACTTATA